AGACTTAGTATCTAATCAAGATAATACAATTAAGAAAATGATTTTTGTTTTTATCGTTGAGTTATTTTAATATTAACAAGCATCAAGTTCTTACAGTGCTATTAATTGTGATGTGAGGATATGTTATTTTAGGCATAAATAACATAATCGTTTATATTTTGAATATGTTGAAGAAATTGTGTCAACAATACCTAAATTTTTCAGTTGTTAAAAATAATTTAATTATTATGAATTCTTGTGTTAAATGTGCACCGCTAACAGAACCAATCCCATTTTCAAAAGATTTTTTGTTTCGTCAAGTAAGTCAATAACTGCGCAAGTAACGTTCTAACACCTGTGTATGTATTTGTTCATGTATTTCATTATCACAATTATACTGACATCTAGCGATTTATTACATAAATATTTTTAAGAAATCAATTTTTATTGCGTATTTTTTTCTTTTTATTCAATTAATTTATAATTTATATAAATCATATTATATTAAATGATAATATTATACATTATATCAAATTTATTATATTCATATTTTATTTTGATATAAAAATATATGTATATAAGTAATATTTTTATAATATTAATAATATTTTTAATGATATTGGAAAGTTAGAATATTTTTTAATGTAAAAAAAAAATAAAATAGAATATTCAACTATCAATCAACTATAATTTATCAAATACATTAGATTATTTATCTGGAAATTATTAGACATTCAATTAATATTGCATTTAATATTTCGTCGTAAAAAATTAGAAAATTAATGTATTTTGGTCTTGTCAATAATTTAATATAATATCAAAACATGTATATTATTATAAACAATTATACTTTATTAATTTAATAATAACATTATTTATTAATTCTTAATTAATTTAATTTTATTGTAATAAACAATATTTTTGCTAATGATATAAAAATCTTTTTAATTTTTTTTTTTTTAACAAATTTTAATTAAAATTCTTAGATGTTCGATCCTACATCCTGCACATATACTTATCTGTTGGCCGATATCAACGATAAAACAGCGATTTTAATTGATCCGGTCATTGAATGGGCAGAACGAGATAAAACTATTATTGAGGAATTGGGATTAACATTAAAATATGCTAGTAAGTTGAGAATATAATTACGTTTGTGCAGAAATCATTCATTCGCTGTTATTTGAAATTCGTAGGAAATAGGATGATTTTTTTTTCCTAAAAAATAAAATGAATCTGTGGAATATATTTTTTCAAGCGAAAAAAATTTTATTTTCAAAAAAAAAATTATTCGAAGGAATATATTTTCACCTAGAATAAAATTTAATCTTTTTAAATTTTTGTTATCATAAATTATTCTGTTCTTACGATACATGTTTAAGATAAAACTTATTTTTATTTTTGAAAATAACAATTATCTAAATGTTTATAAAACCTGTTAAATGATGTGTTAACCTAATATTATATATTTTTAATTTTCAATATATATATCATTTATTCAAAAATGATATAAATGATATTTTCGAACTAATTGCATTTGATTGTCATGTAAATGATTATATTAGCTTTTAATTAATCATTGTGATATGCTCTTTTGAATTATGTCCATATATGAATTTACATTTATTTGGTGTGAATGTGTACTAATATTAGAGAATCGTAATGAAATTTAATCAGTTGAAGTTTAATCAAACATTATCAAATAAATCACATGTTTTCATTTTAAAAATGATTTCTCATATGTTTAATGAAAAAAAATATTTATAATTGAGAAATTCGATGGAAAATGAGTACATGTAGAATATTTTCAATAAATAAAAATTTCTTTATATTTAAAACAAATAAAAAAATATATGAAAAGAAGATTAGATAATAATTTTTCATATCAATTATTATTTCATATTATTTTCTTTTTTTTTTTTAATATATTTCAAATTAATGTGTCATATTAAAACCGCGTTGATATATCAAAACAAGAAACAATAAATTAATAATTAAATCTATTTAATACAAGATGTAATAAAAAATGACAAACAATATAAATTCTTGAAATTAAAATTTAATATTAATTTTTATCATCTTATTAAATTCAATTATTATTAGTTAAAATAATACGTGTAAAAATAAGTATAATATAGAATAATATCTTAAGAAATTATTTTTTTAAAAATTATTTTTTTATAAGTTTATAATATTATAGTATAATATATATTTTTCATTAGACATCTCAACTTTTAACATTACAACTTCTATATTTCTTCTGAAGTTATTAAATTATTCTCAACAAGATTTTCATTTTATTTTGTAAAAAAGCATACTCTATTTTAAAGTTTGTTTTAATAAATTTTAATAAAAAATAACAGCATGCAACAGAATTTATATTATTTGTCAATTCAAATAATTACAATTCAGTATTACATTTTTTTAAAAAAAATTACTTTTTCTAAAACTTATTTTGCTATAAATTTACAATATTATGAAATATGATTATTTTCCACCAAGAATTTGGCAATCTTATACTTTAAAGCTAAATTTCTTCCAAAATCTATCTTAACTTTATCATGATTTTTAATTTATCTACATCGATTAAATTATTTTCAATTTAATCAGGATTTTCAGTATAACTTTGTATACATAGAAAAAAGCGCAAATATTATCAAATCTTATTTGTAATGTTAAAGCTATGCACATAAATATATTATTCAGTGGATTCGTTTTAACTATATTGAACAAACAACTAAATTAACTATCAATTGTTTCAATCTGATTACATAGAAAAAATATAAATTAAAGAGCACGATGAAACTGTAGACCATACCGATTTAATGTATCGCGTTGATATATCATTCCATACAATAGGGTCAAAAACGTTCTCGTCGATTAAAACTTCTTAACTGGAGTCTATTGAGCGCGAACACATCGATAATTCAATAATTTAATGAAGTGCAAGTATTATTAAGGAAACCGTGCGCTTAATTGTTCAAATTGCCACTCGAAGTCTTCCATTCGAAGTAAAGCGTAAAAGTCCACTTGAAAACATTAATTATATGGCTATCGGCTTATTGAAAAAAGTCAAAGCGTAATTTATACACATACAAGTTATTTCATGTAATTGGGCAAAGCTATATGTATTTTTGATAAAAATTTGAAGTAAAAAAAAAGGAAAGCTTAAAAGAGAAAAATTAAATGATATTGTTATGTTACTCTTATGTATTAATGGATATTTATTTGATATAAAAAAACAATTTAAAGAGTTAAATTAAATGATATGTTTTTCCTGTTTTAAATTGTTTTTGATGTATTGTATATTGGAGTTTTATTGATATAATTGTACAGCGCAATTGTATTTAATGATTTTATTTAATGGAATTTTTGCATGAAATCATTACTATTTTTTATCATAAAAGCAGTTACATATTGGGATTAGATGAAAATTAAACGAGAAACTGAATAACTTATGAAATATTTTAACATTTAATAGAAATATAATAAACACTTTTTATTTTTACAATCCTTTTCACGCTTCCAAATAATTTTTGAAGTATAAAATATTCAGAATATTGTTCAAAATATTCAACGTATTGTTCAAATATTTCTTAAACAAATATATATTAATTAATAATTGGAATTAAAATATAATATTATATATACGTTGAATAAAAAGATTAAATATATAAGATGGTCATAGCGAACATATCTTCAATCCAACGATTATGATAACCTTTATTTAAATAATTTGTAAATATCTTGTAATTATGTATCAACGGATTATCATGGAAATAATTCAATTTTACTCTTATAGATAATTAAATTTTCTAATCGGACGAGAGACTTAGTGCTAATTTAATTAATCGTTGTTTATAAACATGATACAACCGTTATGAAGTGAAAACAGAGTCGTTATGATAATAATAGTGGTCAGTGATATCGATGTTTTATAAAGTTAAAATATCGTATTATTTTATTTACATGTATATATTTTATTACATGTAAATCGATTTATGATAAAATAAAATCGATTTACGAAAAAATCACTTAGAAGAAAACAATGTATAAAAATAATTTATGAAAATGCATATGGTTTAAAAATTTTTTTGACGAGAAAATATAAATTTTTAAGTTTCCTTTTATAAAGAATTATCTGAATGTATTAAAATTTAATTAATATATTTAAATTCAGTTAACTAAGAATAAATATTAATATAAAAATTAAAAATGATATAGCTTAATTGTATAAAACATTATATTACGTAACGTATACACTTCTGTTCAAAAGTATGACGACATTCATCATTCTCAATCATATTTCGCTTTGAAAATTATGCTTATGAATGATCGCTTATTTTTTTTTTATATATATTTTAATATGCTTTAAATATTCTAATTATATAAAATATATATAATTAAATTATTTAAATATTTATTAGATGCTTATATATCTATGATGCATCTTCATTGTACATAATTTTTCATTTTTACATCTCCAATCCGCTTTTCAGGCTTGATTCTCCTCATTGCGCGATGTCTCATATGTCTGCTGCCATATATGCTTCTGAGTTTTCTTTGTTTATTATCCAAATTTCCAATGATAAAATAATAAGATGAATGTATATATAAATGAAAAAAAAATATATTTATTATTCATGGCATAGGTAAGATATTTTATGGATTATTTATAGAATATAATATACTTACGTGATAAAAACAAAATATATGAAGTTTAAAGAAATTCATTAATTATTTCATAACTTCTTCCAGATATTATTATAATCAAGCAAATGAAGACCATAAACGAAAAATTTAATAAGTCTAAGATTCCACTATATAATAATTTTATTTTACAGACATACATATATATATATATATTATTTGTATATATATTATCTATATATATATATATATATATATATACATATATAATATATTTTTTATAATAAATAATTATTTATCTGTATACAGATAAATAATCATTTATTATAAAAATTCGAAAACGTGACATTATTAAATCTTCCAATTGTCCTCATGCTTTTGAACGAGATTTTTACATAAAAATAAATATTTTCTTATTACGTGCCATTTTTTTTCGTTATGTAACTTTCTTCTCGCATTTTACAAAAAGCGCGTGTCACGATTTAATTGAAAAACTTAATCGAAATAATTCTCTCTCGTTCTCATTTATGTTATGTATTATTAACTGTTACGAATATATTAATGAAAATATCTAAAAGCTTTGAATGCGAGAAGTGAACCCCACTGAGTAAAATTTTAATATTAAAGTGAATTTTGAGGAGGATGGCCGCCGGCCAATGAAAAGCATTTGTGATGACCGATAACCTCTCCCCGTATGGGTAAATACCTTTTGCAGTAAATACGCATATGCACGCTGATCATATCACCGGAACAGGAAGGCTCAAGTGTTTGTTACCTGGTTGCCAGTCAATGATATCACGTAGCAGCGGCGCTAAGGCTGATATACTCTTGAATCCGGATGACCAAATATGCTTCGGCAGGCATAATTTACAGGTGCTTCCTACACCCGGACATACCGAAGGTCAGATATTTTTTTCTTTCTTTTTTTTTTTTTTTTTTATTATATTAGAAGTATTTACTTGCTTAAGAATGTGTTATACAGAGTGTTGATATATTTGTGGAGCAAGTTTGAAGAGTCTTTTCTAAGAATCTAAAACAAAAATAAAAATTGGTTAATAAAAATATCAATTGAAATGTATTTATAATAAATTATAAGTAATTTAGGCTTGCGTTGAATAAGAGGAAAGAGAGCGAAATAAAACGTTCTTACTCTCTTTCCATCATATGAATATATTAACACGTTGTACATACATTGTTGTTTATAAATATACCTGATCCTTTTGATTTATTATAATAATGTGATATGTATAATAATAACAATGATACATTAATGAAATATTAATAAACAATATAAATTAATGATGAACTTATAATTGAAAATAATAATTAGATATATTATCATTTCATAGAATTAATATTTTGTAATCAATTTATTAATTAAATTAATTATAGGTAATTATTTTATCTATATTGAAGTATATTAATTAATTTAATACGAAAAATTTGTTTCTGATATTATATTATTACATTTTTAATAATAAATATAATATAAAATATAAATATTTGTTAGAAGAAATAGATATCTTTTTATTGAATAAATATATTTATTTATTATTATTAATTTATTATGTTTTTTTTATTTTTTGTTATTTTTAACATATAGATAAAATATTTGTTTATATTTTGATATTTTGGCAACATTATTTTATTTTATTAATGTTACAATATGATGCATTATTGCCATTTTCTACTATGTTACTATTGTATATTTCATTTGTAACAATGTGATATTTTATATTGGTGATATATGAGTTTATTTTTACTTTATTTGTGTTTATTTGTGTTTTTCTATTTTTATCTAGTTTTATTATAGTTTTATTACATTTAAAATATTGAACTACATCAGAAATGATAAAAAAACAGGAACTGATCGATAAAACTTATATCATTACATTTATATTTATTAAATCTTACATTTTAATATTTTACATTTTAAAACATCAAATTTTCAATGAATTTGTTTTTCAGTATAATACCATGTAAGCTTATAATCGATAAATTAATATTTTAATAGGTTGTGTTACTTATGTCTGCTACGAACAAGGCATTGCATTTACTGGCGATGCACTTTTAATACGTGGATGTGGACGAACAGATTTCCAGGTTTGTATAAAAATTTTTTTTAAAATAAATTTAAACTTGGAAAAAATATTGCAAAAATTTTATTGGAAATAAATATAAAAATATATAGAAATATTCTTTATTCTATTTAATTAATTTTTTCGATTAATTATTTTAAAATGATTTGTAAATAAAAAAAAATTTAGAGAAATTTTTTAAATTTTTTCTTCGAATTTTTTTTTCGAATTCTATAATTTCAAAGAAAAATTTTATTTGTGAAACTAATATTTTACGCGAATCTATTATGTTTTTATAGATTTTATTTTATAATTATTAAATATATATTTATATTCAATATATTTCACGATTGACGCAATCGTGAAGAACGTTATAAACGTTTTAAATATCGTATTTTACGGAACATTTAATTTATGAACCGCAAGGGATGGTAGAGAGCGTTCAATCTTAAAATCTGGCGACGATGGATACTTCATACGGAAAGTGCTGACGTAAAATTATGTATGTTCAATATTGTATGTGATAACTTCTGCGTATTATGCATCATTTATTTAGAAGCTAATAATTTTAAAAGTGTCATATCATTATTTATTTAAATAAAATATTATATTTTTGTATTATTTTTTCATTTTATAAATTTATTTATATTATATCAATCGATGATATTTAATTAAATTTTCAAAAATACAGATTAAAATATAACAGCAATTTTCTAGATTAAATTGCACTTCATTAATTTATAAATTCCAATTATTTCAAATGAATTTGATTAATTATTGATTTTTTAAATTTACAAAAATATTATATTTTTTAATAAATGAATAGAATGACTAAAATGAAAAGCTAAAGTATTTACAGATGCACCCAATCTTGCCAATAATAAATATACATACCATTATTACAGAGAAAATAAAATAATTCTCCCCAAACAAACTTCTTTCTGGAACTTGTAATTATTATAATTAAAATTTTTATTTTTCTTATTATTTGTATTTCTTAATATGAATTTTTTAGATTAATAGACAGATTGTCTATCCTTTTCGAAAGCTGTATTAAATTTTTTCCATATAAAAATTTGAATAAAAAATGAATATAAACGGAACGTTTAATCATTTCTCAATCTATTATTAATTTATTATTATATTATTGTTTCTAATATAATTTAATTTATTATATATAAATTTAATTAATTTTTAGTATAATTTAAAAATAAATTAATTTTTATTATTTTTATTTATTATAGGGTGGATCATCAGAGATTTTGTATAAATCAATTCATACAAAAATCTTTACATTGCCACAAAATTTTAAGCTATATCCAGCCCATGATTATTGTGGCAGAACGGTAACTACAGTGGCTGAGGAGAAAATTCTTAATCCAAGATTATCTAAATCACTAAATGAATTTGTGAACATAATGAATAATCTTAATCTGTCTTATCCAAAAATGATAGGTATGTTAATTCATTTACGTATTATATATTTAAAGCGTTATATAATTTTCAAACTTTTATTTGAAAATCACGACAAAGCTTGATATTTCTGTAACTACTACTACTTTTTAAACTTTTATAAGCATAAAATTTTGTTTACCCTTTTAGATAAAGCTTTACCGGCTAATAAAGTTTGCGGATTATATGAAGTTCACGAGGAACAGAAACCATGAAGAGATGAACTCTTCTGTGGTATTTTTATGTTCATCGATCGACCGATGTTAATTCAATTTTGTCGTTTTATGTAAAATAATAGTTTATAATAAAAGGAATTTAATTATATAATAAACATAAAAAAAAAATTAAAAAAAAACGCGCGTATATTCTTAATTGATACTCTTGCTTTTAATTTTTAAATTCGTACTATTATTAAGATTAAAATTTAAAATTACATTGCAAAATGCGAAGTTGTTTTTACAGGACTTTTTTATTTTCATTAAACATTTATCCTATTTTCTAAATAATTATGTTAAATTTAAAAAGCTAATTAAATTTACTATATACAGATACAGAATATTTTGTATTCATTGTTGGGATATTTAGATCTCTGTATCAGTCAATATAATGCATTTATTTTTCTGAATTGAATGTAATATTCTTCTATAAACATATATCTTTCGTATAATAAAGAGGATTTTATATTAATATAAGTAAATGCGCTGAATTAGCCTCTACAAAAGCGGAAATCATTGAATCAAAAAAGTAGTTCGTAATAGTTCCAAATTTCGCCGTTAATTTCACGGTGTCCCTTAACCTCAAATATCATTCGAAGAACTGAATTTGTGAAGTACGCGAAACGAAATGTAAGACGGTAATAGAGATGGAGGTTGGTGTAATCGGGTAGTTTAAACGGGCTGTCTTGTCGAAACTCGGGATGAAGAGACCCCCATGGTGTGCCGCTGGTTTCTACTGCATAGCTGAGGGTTGAAATCGATACCGTTTCCAGGGTAACCAGTGGGTACGGTGGCCGACACACGGGCAAAGGTATGGGCCAAGGCTATCTGCTCGTGCGTTTTCATGCTTTCCTGAAAAAAAGAAAGAGATGAAGGTATGTATAAAAGAAGAGACAGTGAGGTTAGGGGCGCGGGGAAGAAGAAAAACAGATGAAACCACGCGGAATGTGTAATTTCCCTGGGTCCGGTGGCTTAGACGAAAAATAGAAAAGTCAGACTAGGGTATGCGGTTGTTAACAAAACGAAATGCTCAGAGACTTTTGATAAGATATATGTGTACGTTTCTCTAAACCGTAAAAAAATGAGAACCGAAACTAAGCGGATGTAATGATACAGTCTCAGGTAATTTGTCAAGCTTAAAAAGTTTTTAATATAATATGCTGCTCACGATATTGCATTGTATACCGTTTGATTTCGTTCCTCTCTCTCCTCAACCCTTCTCTGTCTCGTCTTGATTACGTATTACAGCATGGTTAAGTATTACAGGCGAATGTAAATGATGTCATAGCGCGGAATATTATTCTTCTTATATTCATACCGTTATTATCGATGTGTAATGGTGACTATGATAGATAAGTACATCTATAAATCGTTGTTTCGATCGACAATGTTTTCTTTCGATCGTATATGAATATATGCTATATGTTGCCAGGTTTATTTTATTTTATTTTTTGTTGGAAATCGAAACATTCGAAAGTAAGTTGATTGCAACGAATCACGCGCCTAACTTTGTCATCGATTGATATTAGGCTTTTTATACGTATGTTCTATACGTATGATATTTTGGTTGCCTATATCAAATGCGTGAAACCTTTGAAATATAAATTAAATTTATCATTTAATTGAATATTTATACAATTATGCGTTGTTAATCGTGTTTCGATTCAGAATGGTAATCACATACGATTCGATTAACATTTATTACATATGTTAAAGCAATGATTATATAGATAATATTAAATGTTTTCATTTTAGAATATTATTAATCATATAAAATTATCTTCATTATAATATAAATAATTCGATTTGTTATTTTAATTTTCATTCTATTTGCTATTTTTTTCCCGATGGTTTTTGAATAATTCTTAGCAATATTTTCAATAGAGAAAAGTAAAGAAATAAATAATCTGACATATTGATCGAAACAATGATTTGAAAACGATAAATAATATTTATATTTAATTTTTTTTATATTTTTATGAAAACGTTAAATTATAATATAATATAACATATAAATTTAATTAATTAAAATTTATTTAAATATTTAATTAAATTATTTAAATAAAATTTATTTAAATACAAATAGTTCAAATTGTTTATCTTAAATATAATTTATATAATTAATTTAGATAAAGAATTTCCTATATTTAATATATATATAAATTTTAATTTTTATTTATATGTTTTAAATTATTTTTTTATATAAAAGCTATTTTACTGATTAATACTAGCAGTTTGAATAGAATAGCCGTCAAATGTTTTGTTGAAAGTAACATTTCCGCCGGAAAATCTGTCAAAAGTTGACAATTACACAGCACGATGAAGTATATCATTTAAAATCACGATATTCCCGCCACATTATCGACTGACCATTGCGCGCATGTGAACGCACCCTCCGGCGCGGTCATCTAGTGACAGCTTTTGATTGGTCGAATCGTTTCAGCGGCACCGGCGCCGCGCTTCACCTCCATCTTGATTTCTCGTAAAGCGACCCACCCAGCAGCAGTGTCACAGTAGTACGCTGTGCTCTCGTATACGGCGGGTGAGTGGTGTCTTGCATATAACAATTTGTTCTGCAACGTTTCTGGCGTTTGTTAGTCAGTGCATCGTCATTTCTTCGTAGAAGATCGAACTAAGCCAGGAATCATTACGAGAGGAATCCAAACGACACATCGTGCAGGAGTTTTACGAACAGTCAATCAAGGAAGAAAGATGAAGGGGATGCTGGTGCCCGCACTGCTGGGCGTCTTGATGGTCTGCCGGGTTCAAGTAAGTACCTTTTGATTCAAAAGAGAAAAACAGAAATAACACGTCAGACATGTAACCATCGCGAATCGATCGTCTCGGACAATTTCTTCTCGACTAGTTTCGATGACAATTTTTATTTTTTTACCCTCTCGGCGAACAAGCGGCAAATGTCACGCGCAACGCGCATCACGATCGATGTAGTGACCACAGTGTACTTGTTTCATGAAATTTCTCTTAAATGCTTGCCAATTAAGCATCGTGTGCTACCTGTCAAACGGTTTACAGGGCTCGATCGATGCACCGCGATGCGTTCATTTAGAGTGCATTATACTGTGCGGCTGTAACGATCGACAACTTACGTACACGTACATTCTCGACAAGAATGTTTGCTTTCGTTCGAGGACTACACGATCAACCGCCTACTAGACTCCAACGCTCTTTCCATGCGACCGAGCGGCATTAATCGAATCTGACGTTATATATCACACAATATCCTGTCCTCGCTACTTGGATGGCTATTTTAATCGTTAATGTCATGTATCGTAATACGATTATATCAATTGCTCTTTTTTATTGTTTCACATCACAATCATAGATTCTTGATCAGAAATTAGGCCTCTTAAGATTTTCACTAAATTTTTAATCACTAATAGTGTATCACAATAACTATCTTTTTTATCAATTCATTATTACAGATTCTGGATTAAAAATTGTTTTTTGAAGTGTAGATTCTCATAAATTTTAATCATTAATGTCACATACTATGATATGACGATATTAATTAATCTTTTTTTTTTATTGAAAAGAATACGAGTCTTTATTAGAAATTAGATTTCTTAATGTATATGTTTTCTAGAGAATTTTAAAAATTGTGTAATTATCGTTCTATCATATTATAATTATGTCACGATTCTCGTTGCAATCGAAAAAATATCGATAAAAAGAAGGAATCAATTATAAATCTGCGATTAACTGTCACATATAAAATTTTTGTCAAACTTCTTTACGTAACATTCGAGGATAAAGTTGAATCAAAATTCTCGTTCGCAAAGTGTTAACGGTGTTCCAGCGATGCCGTACAAGTTTCGGTGTGTTCTTTTTGTCGGGAAAAAAAGAAGCACGGTCCTTAGGAAGCGCTCGCTTTTAAAACGTTTCAAAGCACACCTATCCCGGGGGAGTAACCTTGTGTATGCGCAAATTATCACGCATGAACGAACATAGGCAAAACTCCGGAGGCACAGACAAAGCAAAGAGATTGCAAATACGTAAGTCGCAAAACGGATTTGCGAACGATTTTCTCGTTAACGTTAATTCCGTGTGACAGTTCAATTTACGTGCTCGTTTCTCCCATTACCACGAAATAGAATCGCGTCTAATAGATGGAAAAGTTCGTTCTGGGAAGGTGCACCACCATTTGGGCATAGAATATGAAATAAGAAAGATCGTCGACTCGACTTTATTGTGCTTATTCTTTTTTTTTTTTTAATTTTAATTTGTCCAAGAACCAATGTTGAAATTTTGTTTGCAATTTTTTTTAATTAATTTATTTTATCTATTTTTAATATATAATTTTTAATATAGAAAATAAAATAATCTTTATTTCAACTTTTGAGCAAAAAAAATTTGACTTGATTTACGTTTTTACCTCAATACATTCATTCATTTCATTCTTTTCATTTTATTATAATTTTTTATATTTATGTATTCTGTTTTTTATAATTTCTATCTTATTATATTTCATTCCATTCTATTCTATCTCTGTTTTTAATCAATTGCCATATAAAATAATTTAAATTATAAATCCATTTTGGATTATAAAATTATTAAAAATGAATATTTTTTATTTTTCTTATTTTTCAATTATTTTATCGATTCTAAAATTTAGAAAAACGAATAAATCTGAAAAAAACGATGAATTTTGTTTAGTTTGTAAGTTTTTTGCGTTATGTTTTATTATGTTTATTATATGTTACGTAATACGATAATTAGATTGGTAGTTGCAATTTTACCAGGTAATTTTCCATCATTAAATTTTTTTTTCTTTTTCAAGAAGATAATTTGAAAATAGTGTTTTTTTTTAGAATAAATGAGCAATAATTTTTAGAATTCTTTCCAGGCAGAATAAATCAGAACTATTTTAAATAATATTGGATAGAATTTTTTCTTGAAAAATCCGATATACAATATACATTTTATAATATGGAATTAAAATAATTTCCAATTACCAATAATTTTTAAATGATAATATAAGTTACTTTATAATTAAATCAATAACCAACAATATTTTTTCATTTTCTAAACACCACTTCTTAACTTGAATAATCAGAATCAAATATTTTATAGTTAAAAAAAAAAAGTTGTTGAATAAACGTTGGTCCCGTTTTTTCTCGATATTCAACCGTTTTTGTACTTAAACGCAATTACGATCTTCACCTAGATTTACTATAGTTAAAGGCATGCTGTGTCGCATGATTGAAACGCACAGTTAAAGGTTTTCCGGTGGCTTTCGATGTTTCCTCATTTCCCGCGGTCCCATTTTTCCATCGTAAAGCCACCGTTTTCACGGAATAAAAAAAAAGAAAAAAAAGATATTTCGCCGCTTAAATGTGGTTCCTTGTCCCCATGCTGGCGTACGAGAAAATGCTCTGGTAATGGAGCACGGAGTAAATGAGGACGAAAGAGTTTCAATGCATTTTTCATTTTCGACGCAGATTCTTTTAAGGTCATCTTTCACACCGCTATCTTCTTTCATTCTCTCCCTGTTTTCCTTTTTTTTTTCTTTTCTTTTTCTTTTTCTTTACCTTTTTCTTCGTTCTATCTTTCCTCTTTTCTTCGGTCGTTCTTTAATGTTTCTTTTTTAATCAAACTGCATATTAATCCGATAACGAAATCACCGCTTATAAGAGCGATTATTACTAGAGTGGAAGTAAATGCAAATGCAAATGATTTACTCGCGCCAGATACAGAGATAACGTCAGATATTCCAGAGATAATTTAGCAACGATTACCCGAATGATTCGAAATGAAAATCTCGTGTAACTTGAATCTTATAGATATACAATATCCGAGTTTGAGAGAAATTTTTGTTAACGAGTGAAACATTTTTGAAAGTGATTAATTGTATTCATTAATTTGATAAATTAAGAATAAGTGGATATATATATATTCGTATTTTTTATATCTTTTTTTATTTAAATGAAAAGAATATTTCTTTGTATATAATAATCATTACTCGTATCTTAATGAAAGTGGAAAAAGTTAAAAATTATTGGAAAGAGAGATTAATTTAATGTAAATGAGACATTTTATTATATTGCGGCAATATCTCACGTAAAATTCTCGTAAAATATTTAAATCTAGCAATATATAGCTGTATATATAGTTGTATTGTTCTTGGAAAATATGCAATCTTCAGAAGAATTATATACTTGAATCTCTACTTCTATCTCTAGTAATCTTTCCTACAACTATGTACTCGCATCGAGTACACATGGATATAAAAGACTGACTTACAATAGAAGAGAAGTAGGATATAGAAGTACTATCTAGTATCTTCTTCCACTTTTTATGGATATATATAAAGTTTAAAAAAAAAATATCTTGGCATTTTAATATTAGAAAAATAATCGAAGAACAAAAATTTTAATAAATAAATCCGATAAAATAATTATAATTATTTTGCATACAATTTTTTTAAATACACGTTCCTTTACAATATATTTCACATGTATTAAAAATAAATTCTCATTTCTTCGATGAATGAAAGATGCACGACTGAAGAAATGAAAGAGAAAGAAAAAGTATATATATTATAACTCTTACAATCTTATTTATGTCCATTCTCTAATCATTTTTAAAATATCTTTTTCCTTTTTTTTTTTT